AGATCACAGTGGAATAAAACTAGAAATCAACCCCAACAGAAACACACATTTCTACACAAAAACGTGGAAATTAAACAACCTCCTACTAAATGATTACTTCGTAAATGAAGAATCAAGACGGAAATAAAAAAGTTCTATGAAGCAAAACGACAATGGAGAGAGTTATCAACTCCTCTGGGACACAGCTAAAGCAGTTCTGAGAGGAAAGTTTATCTCCATAAATGCCTATAACCAAAAGACAAGAAGATCACAAATAGACAATCTAATGAAACGACTCAAAGAGCTGGAAAAAGAAGAACCACCCCAACCCAGCAGAAGAAGTGAAATCAACAAGATCAAATCAGAACTAAAAGAAATTGAAAACAGGAAAGCTATTCAGGAGATTAATAAAACAAAAATTTGGTTCTTTGAAAAAATAAACAAAATCGACACACCATTGGCTAAGCTAACGAAAAGCAGAAAAGAGAAATCTCTAATAAGCTCCATCAGGAATAAAAAGGAGATATCACAACTGATCCCAAAGAGATACAAGATACAATTTATGATACTCAAAAATCTTTATGCACACAAACTGGAAAATGTGGAGGAAATGGACAATTTCTAGAAACACACAGCTCCCTACGCTCAACCAGGAAGAAATAGATTCCCTGAACAGACCAATCTCAACAGCTGAAATAGAAACAGCAATTAAAAATCTTCCTAAAAAGAAAAGCCCCGGTCCAGATGGCTTCACACCTGAATTTTACCATACTTACAAAGAAGAACTAGTACTATCTTGCAGAAACTATTCCACAACATCGAGAAGAACGGAACCTCCTGACACCTTTTATGAAGCGAATATTACTCTGATACCAAAACCAGGGAGGATGCAACAAAAAAGAAACTACGACCAATATCCCTAATGAATATAGATGCAAACATTTTCAACAAATCTTAGCTCACCGAATCCAGACACTTATCAAAAAAAAATAACCACACGACCAAGTGGGCTTCATCCCAGGGATGCAGGGATGGTTCAACATACGTAAATCTATAAATGCAATTCACCACATAAACAGAAGCAAAAACAAAGACCGCATGATTCTTTCAATAGATGCAGAAAAAGCTTTTGACAAAATTCAACACCCTTTCATGATACGAACACTTCAGAAAATAGGCATAGAAGGGACATACCTAAAAATGATACAAGCCATATATGACAAACCCATAGCCAACATCATACTGAATGGGGAAAATTGAAATCATTCCCACTTAGAACTGGAACCAGACAAGGCTGCCCACTTTCTCCACTTCTGTTCAACATAGTGCTGGAAGTCTTGGCTACAGCAATCAGACAGGAAAATGGAATCAAAGTATCCAAATAGGGGCAGAAGAGATCAAACTTTCACTGTTTGCTGATGATATGATATTGTATCTAGAAAACCCCAAGGATTCAACCAAGTAACTCCTGGAACTGATCAATGAATTTAGTAAAGTCTCAGGATACAAAATCAATACACAGAAATCAGAGGCATTCATATATGCCAACAACAATCTAATTGAGAACCAAATCAAAGACTCAATTCCTTCACAATAGCAACAAAGAATTAAAGTACCTAGGAATTTACTTAACCAAGGACATAAAAGACCTCTACAGGGAGAACTATGAAACACTGAGGAAGGAAATAGCAGAGGATTTAAACAGATGGAAATCCATACCATGCTCGTGGATCAGCAGACTCAATATCATCAAAATGTCTATACTACCCAAACTGATCTACAGATTCAATGCAATACCTATTAAAATCCCATCAGCATTCTTCACAGATATAGAAAAAATAATTTTACGCTTCGTATGGAACCAAAGAATACCCCGAATATCAAGAGCAATTCTAGGCAACAAAACAAAATGGGAGGCATTAATATGCCAGATATCAAACTATACTACAAAGCTGTAGTAATTAAAACAATATGGTATTGGCACAAAAACAGGAATATTGACCAGTGGAACAGATGTGAGAATCCTGATATAAAACCATCCTCATATAGCCATCTCATCTTTGACAAAGCTGACAAAAACATACGATGGGGAAAAGAATCCCTCTTCAATAAATGGTGCTGGGAAAACTGGATAGCCACCTGTAGAAGGCTAAAACAGGACCCACACCTTTCCCCTCTCACAAAAACCAACTCACGCTGGATAACAGACTTAAACCTAAGGTATGAAACTATTAGAACTCTAGAGGAAAATGTTGGAAACACTCTCCTAGACATCAGCCTGGGCAAAGAGTTTATGAAGAAGTCCCCAAGGCAATCACAGCAGCAACAAAAATAAATAAATGGGACATGATCAAACTACAAAGCTTCTGCACAGCCAAAGAAATAGTCATGAAATAAACAGACAACCTACAGAATGGGAGAAAATTTTTGCATCCTATGCATCCGATAAGGGACTGATAACTAGAATATACTAGAACTCACGAAAATTAGGAAAAAAAATCAAATAACCCATTAAAAAGTGGGCAAAGGACTTGAACAGAAATTTTTCTAAAGAAGACAGAAGAATGGCCAACAAACATATGAAGAAATGCTCAACATCTCTAATCATCAGGGAAATGCAAATCAAAACCACAATGAGATATCACTTAACCCCAGTGAGAATGGCCTTTATCAAAAAATCTCCAAACAATAAATGCTGGCGTGGTTGCGGAGAGAGAGGAACACTCCTGCACTGCTGGTGGGACTGCAAACTAGTTCAACCTCTGTGGAAAGCAATATGGAGATACCTTAAAGCGATACAAGTGAATCTACCATTTGATCCAGCAATCCCATTGCTGGGCATGTACCCAAAAGATCCAGTGACACTCTACAAAAAAGACACCTACACTCGAATGTTTATAGCAGCACAATTCATAATCGCAAGGCTGTGGAAACAGCCCAAGTGCCCATCAATCCAAGAATGGATATAAAATGTGGTATATGTATACCATGGGATATATTCAGCTCTAAGAAACAATGGTGATATAGCACATCTTATATTTTCCTGGTTAGAGCTGGAACCCATACTACTAAGTGAAGTATCCCAAGAATGGAAAAACAAGCACCAGATATATTCTCCAGCAAACTGGTAACTGAGTAGCACCTAAGTGGACACATAGGTGCTACAGTAATAGGGTATTGGGCAGGTGGGAGGGGGGAGGGGCGTATATACATGCATAATGAGTGAGATGTACACCATCTGGGGGATGGTCATGATGGAGACTCAGACTTTTGGGGGGAGGGGGGAAATGGGCATTTATTGAAACCTTAAAATCTGTACCCCCACAATATGCCAAATTAAAAAAAAAAAAAGAAAAAAAAGAAACTAAAGCCCAACGTAAATGGCAAATTGAAACTAGATACTGTAATACTGTACCAATCAGAAACCGCCAACTAACCTCTAACTAGGGACTTTCCATTCTAACAAATAAAAATTGTTTTCTTTGTCTTGTTTATGCAAACACTTTAGGAAATGTTCCTCAGTTGCCCTTCTTGTCCTCATCCTCAGTGTGTTAGCCACTTGGAGTCTGGTGCTGCCCCTATTCATGAATCACTGAATATGCAAAGAAACTCTTTAGAATTTAAATGTGCCTAAATTTTTCTTTTATCACACTTGACACCAAAAGCATGATCCACAAAGAAAAAATTGACAAATTGGACTTCATCAAAATTTAAAACACTTGCTCTGTGAAATATTCTATTAAGAGGATAAAAGACAAATTACCACTTGGGAGCAAATATTTGCAAAGCACATATTCAACAAAGGACTAGGATAGAGATTATATAAAGAAATGTCAAAACTCAACAACAACAAAAAAACACAAACATGACCAGATATTTCGTCAAGGAAGATATACAGATGGCTACTAAGCATATGCTTAATCATCAGAGAACGGCCTTTACCCTGCTTTTTTCACCAGTTTAGCAAAATTCACAAATTCTCCCGAGGCCATCTGCATTCCCTTTCATGTCCCTTTTCCCCTCTCTCAGCCCCATTTTTCTGTGTACTCTCTTAAAGTCTCAAATTGCCCCATTCCCCACATTCACTCCCTCGCAGGAAGTCAGGCAACCTGCCTTCCCTGATGTGGCCCTCAGAAACTCTCTAGTCCCAAATTAGCACTCCCATCTACTCCATGCTGTGGACCTTATTTTGGTATCTGAAGGAAGGCAATCCCGGGGCAGTTAAATCCTACCAAGTCAGGCCAGCCACTGAGAAGTGAGGCAGGGTGGTAAAGGGTAGAGGGGCTTTCAGGCCTGTGGGAGACAGATGGACACAGCTGAATGTAGGACAAAGGCTCTTCCTGGTACTACTGTCATCATACCACAAAAGCCACCAGGTGCTTTTCCCTCTCTTGTTCTCAGTTCAGCAAGAGAAGATAGGCTAGCCTAGGGTAGGCTAGCTTAAGGTTTTCTATTCCCTAAGCAGCAAAAAGTCTTGGCCCTTCAAATCACTGTTAAATGTGCTATTTAATGACCAGCAAACTAACCTCTAGTTATTTCACAGCCATATATGGTAAGAGTAGAGGATGTAGAGCTGGTTAAGGGGCAGGACAAACTACCCAGTGCAGAGGTGAAAAAAATTGGTGTGCGCGCGCGCGCGCGTGTGTGTGTGTGTGTGTGTGTGTGTGTAATCCATAGGGACAGATATACTCAGATTTAAAACAGTGGAGGGTGGAGGCCTTCAGGATCCTTTGAAACTCCCAGGTGGAAGCCAGGTCGGACACACATCCTGCATGGACCTTTCCTGCCCAGCCGGGATATCCTGTGTTTGTCAAAAGGACCACATAGGGAAGCCCTGACCATTGTCCTTCCCGAAATCTGCCAGTGAGCCCCTCCCCAGGTTGAGGCAGCCGCCCCAGGCAGAGGAAGATTAACTCTGGAAACAGCGTTATCAGCATCCTCCATAGACTTCCTCACCTCCTTCCCAGCCTCATTAGCCCCAGGCTCCTCAGCATCCTCATACAGAAAGCTTGGGGGGCTGGGGTGGGGTCAGCACCCAGAAGCCAGCCCCCTCTGACAGCTTCCTCTTTGGCCAAGCCCTGCCTCTGTGCAGCCGTGAGTGGGCAGCCGAAGGCTGCAGCTGCATCCCAGAGCCCGAAATGGATCCCCAGCTGACCCTGCTGCTGTGGGTCTCAGCCCTGAGCTCTTCTTTCTCCTTGCCAGCTTCTCTCCATCCTTCTCTGGTGCCCCAAGTCAGAACCAGCTACAATTTTGGAAGGACTTTCCTCGGTCTTGATAAATGCAATGCCTGCATTGGGACATCTATTTGCAAGAAGTTCTTTAAAGAAGAAATAAGGTCAGAATCTCAGTCAAATAACTCTGAGGGGCAAAATTTCGTTCCCTTCATGTGAAGATGTCCAGGAATTTGTTGAAAAGGAATCGGGATGTAATGTATGGGTGGGAGCTGAAACAAAGCCATTTAATCAGAGTGGTAATGGTTTGACGCTGGGGTGGGTAGGAGGGCAAGGTGTGAAGCCAAATCGCAACCCTAAATGCTAAATCCAATGCTTCCTTTTGAAGTGAAAGCTTGAAGGTTTTTTTTTGCTATGAATAGAGTAGCCTGGGACTGTTGAGTTTACCAAGTTCATTTCTCATAAGGGGAGGGAAATTAAATTTATAGAAAGCCTACTATATGACATGCATTTTAAATTATTCTGAGAGTTAGTGATTTGCACCAATTATTCAGATAGTGAACTGAGACATAGCAAGGTTAAGTGACTCTGGAGTGGGGAGGAATGGAGAAACTATGTGAGAAGATGGATGTATTAATTTGTTCCACTATAGTAACCATTTTACTATATATTTATATATGTATCTTATAACATCATGTTGTATACTATAAATATGCACAATAAAATTTATTTTAAAAGAAAAAGATTAAGTGACTTGACCAAGGTCACCACCTAATAAATGACAAATCTGGGATTCACATCAGCACAGTTTGCTCCAAAGTTTCTGAACCAGTTTTCTGTTGTGAGATGTTGCCTTGATCAGAGGAAAACCAGAGTTTAGTAAATTGCAAGCGCGTGGCTCTGAAAGAATGGTATCACACTCTGGAATTCAAGCCTATCAACACACAGTAAATGAGCCTTTACCATGGCCGAGATCTAGGAGGTGTTGTGGTGACAGCTACTATAACTCTGATCAATACCTTCCAGGGGGTCATATTACAAATAATAACAATAAAGCTTGTTCTGACGCAGGCCAGTGGAAAGGACCTCCAGGAACTCCAGGAAGGGAACATTATTAATTCCAAATGGGGGCTGGGGAAGAGCGTCTCTAGGGGGAGGTATTCTGAGCAAGGCCTTAAAGAATGAGCTGAAATTTAGTGGCATGGGAAGGGCTTAAGGAAGAAGCAGCAGCTTAAGCAAAGGCCCAGAGATGTGCGAAGAGGTGAGAGGCGCTTAGTGGCATGAGGTGTACGTGGAGGTGTGGCAAAGGAGGTTGGAAGGATATACAGGACATGGAGCCTTGAATGCCATGCCAATGAATTGGGAGCTTAATCTGTGGACCAGTGGTTCCCAGGCTATCCAGTACTAAAAACCCATTGTCATTTTCCCCTCCTCCTCCATCCTCCTCCAGGTCGTCCACCCTGAACGACCTACTGCATGCTTGTAAGATTTGGTGACCAAACGAAAGGCATTAATTAACAGTGATTTTATTTCCAATCTGTAGTAACCAAAGACATATTTGATTATTCAACTAAATTACTGAACAGAAATAATAAATAGAAAATACCAATCAAGGCCAGGCATGAGGGCTCAGGCCTATAATCCCTCCCACTTTGGGAGGCCAAGGCAGGAGGATTGATTGAGGACAGGAGTTCAAGACCAGCCTGGTCAACATAGCAAGACTCCATCTCTACAAAAAGTTTTTAAAACATTAGGAAATTAGCCAGGCATGGTGGTGTTCTCCTGTAGTCCTAGCTAATCAAGAGGCTGAGACGGGAGAAAAACTTGAGTTCAAGGCTGCAGTAAGCTATGATCATACCAGCCTGGGCAACAGAGTGAGACCCTGTCTCAAAAACAAATTTGAAAAAAACAAAGAAATACTAATGAAAAATGTTAAACTTCTTTTGTGAGACCATAGATATTTTATGGAATTCATGGTGGATTTTCCTTTTAACTCTTTTTAAAGGCACTTTTTAATGTTGAAAATTGAAAAATGTGAATTGAGGAAGCTCTATTGCAGGCAATGGTGAGGATGCTAAGCTGGTGAGAGGCAGGAGACCTGTGGTTTTGGAAGGTCTCATGGAAAACAGTGAGTATGATGGACTAGGAGTGTTGACAGGGGCTGTGAGAACAGTTGTCATATCCCAAGAGAGAGGTCATAGGGAACAAATTAGGGCAGGAAGGATACAAGTCAGTTCAACTATAGAGTCACTTTGTTGAATGACTCCATGCGAGAGGAAATAAAGATGGAGACGTTGAATGTAAATTCAGGTTTTCTGCCTAAGAAATGGGAAAAAGAGGACCAAGAACACAGGTGAAGTGGTGCTGATTCCTCAGAGAAAGGAGGCAATGAGAATATAGACATATTTTAAGATATTTTAAAATACGAGGGTGAAAAATTAAGGGAATCAACTAAGGAAGAGTTCCAGGTTCACAACCTCTTTATTCACTAAGGGGCAATAAATGAAATTTTTCTCACCATCCAGGTATTAGCCAAATTCAGAAAGCATTCCCCTAAATAGGTTTGCATTCCATTAAAGTTCAGGATATTACTTCATCTCCCTTAGAATTCATTTTCCATGTGTCCCTGAAGGGGAAGTATGCAGATACAAGCAGGGAAACACCAGGCAGGGCACGTTCAGGTTTACAGCTCTCTGTGTTGAGAATGTTCATTCTCAGTACAAGAGACAGAGAGAGGCATTGAGTGGGTGTGGGGATGTGGACTTGTTTAGAATCCTTTTCTGTATCTTATAAATAACTTCTTTCTTATTAGAAAAGTAATATCTGTTTATTTTAGAATTTTCAGAAAATATTGATTAAGGGAAGCACAACATAAAAATCACATATAATTCCTCCACCAAGAGATCATCCCTTAGTGGATATTTTATTGTATATCCTTGCCACTCCTTTTCTATGTATGGATTAAGAAAGTTTTTCAGCAAAAATGTGATCATCGATGTATACTCTTTTGGAAACTTTTATTTAATAATATATCAGGAACACCCTTTCCACATTATTAAATGATATTCCCCCTAATTTGATTTTTAATGGCTTCAATTGCATCAATCAACCATAATTTATTTAACTAATCCACCTTAGTGAGACTAGGGATTTTTATTTCATTTGTCGGTATCACGAACAGTGCTGTTAAACATCCCTGTGGCCATATTTTATGCAGATCAGTGATTAATTCTTTATGACAGAGTCTTAAAAGTGAAATCTCTGGGTCAAAAAATTACAAATGTTTAAAATATATGTGTGTGTGTGTATATATATATCTCCAAATGGTGACTTCTACTTATAGAGCTCACTTCTTGAACACTCACAAATATTTAATATTATTACTTTTTTAATTTGTATTTCTTCTGAGTTGAGCCTTGTTTTCAGATTTATTGACCATTTGTATTTCTTCTTTGTTAAATTGTCTATAAGTTCACATCCTTTGCCTCTCTTTCTAATAGTGTGTTTGCTCATCATGTTCTTGTTGATCCCCAAACATTTCTCCACTTCTAAAAATGACTACCATGACACCTTATGAGAAAGCCCATCCAAAACTCACAGACTTTTGGGTGAAAAGCTATAGCCAGGTCTTGGTCCTTACTAACGATTGGACAATGCTTGTATCTGTTCAGCAACAAACAACAGATGGGCTTCCCAGGCCAACTGAGTATGCTGAAGACACATGATCAGTAGATAAACGTCACCTTTCCTTCTTCCCCTTATCTTTTGGTTGGCAAGAATGCTAGGGATGAGTCAGATACTTCTTATATTCAATCTTTGCAAATTTTCCCATGCATATCATGTTGACTTTCAAATCCTGAATGAAAAAGTTAAAGGAAGCTAGGAAAATGAGTAAGCCTCATTGACATGTTTTTCTTATTGAAAATACGCCTATATGTGAAATCCTGAGTGGCCACACCAATTGACAAGATCTACCAGGATCTGGTTGGTCAGTATTGTACATATGTGAGGAGAGAGGGGTACATAGTGGCAGTATCTCTGATCAGAATTATTACTAAGGGTTCCTGGGCTCTTACCATGGCAGATGCTTTACCTCACCTTCCTTACTGTACACATTTGGCCTGACATGCCCACTCCCACTTCCACTCCCACTCCCAAATTCTTAAAAAGGTTTAAACACTTCCAACTGGGCATTGAAGGGCTCACAGTGAAATAAGTAAATCATTAGGCTTGATTTTGCCTTCCCTTCTGCCTTACCTTTTGTCTGTCTCCTTTCCCTCAGAAAACGATAATTTTTGCCTTAACTCACTTCCTCATATCAACGCAGAGGCCTTGGGAACTGCAAGACCCAGGAGTTTATGGCAGAAGTATCCATTTATATATTCGGTCATCCGTACATGCACCGATTCATCCACTCACCCATCCATCCACCCACTTATCCAGGCATCACTCCGTGCATTCTTCCACCCAATAGCCACTCTGTGCACTCCACCATCCAGCCCCCCATGTATCTCTCTACTCACTTATCCACCTCTACATCCAAATACCCATACATCCATCAATCTATACATCCAACTGTAACGTATTGAACAGTTAGTACCAAGCACTTGGTACCAAGCACTCTGCCAGGCATTGAGTTACAACATTAAAAGAGGCCGAATTCTTGCCCTGAAGGAGTTTACTTCCTATTGGGAAGACAGAGAAAGAAGTAAACCAATGATAAAAACAGAGTATAAGGAATATTTTTTAAATGTCCTACACAGGGTGTCCCACAGGAGCATGTGGGAAGGTCCCAACTGGGTGATGAAGGAGTGAAGATCAGAAGAGGTGTACCCCTCTGGGTTTTATAGGGGTTGGATAGAGATTTTCCAGATAAGAAAGAGGAAGAAAGTATCTCAAAGAGATCAGCACATGACAGGTGAGCAGAGGCTCAGCAGCCTAAAAGAATGTGGTTTATCCAAGGATAGCCAGTGGTTTGGTAAGACCAAAGCAAGCTTGTAAGGGCAGCAGCAGGTGATACAGCAGGCAAAGAGCATTGTGAACTAAGCTCGAAGCACTAAGAAGCATGAACTCTATTCTGAGAGTTTTGGGAAGACACCGGATGGTTTAATGGTTGAGTGTAGAGCTGGAGGATGGAGAAGAGGGAAGAGAGAAAGAAATCTTTAAGAAGGTATGTCTACAGACTTAATGTTTGACTAGATGCAGCATGAAAATTATTCATGAGAATAGAGCATTTCATTCTAACTCCAAAGCTATTCCTCTCCCCCACACTCTCCCCATGCTCTCCGTGTTGAGGGACTTGAGGGGATTGGACCACATGGCCTTTATGCTTCCTTTCAGCTCTGAGATACTATCCATGATCCTATTTGTCCATCTTTCCACACAATGAGGAACTTGGCCGGCCTCACTTCAATCATGCCAGTGATCTCAATTTAGAAGGAAGATTAGAAAGCTGCCTCTATTTTGTGGTTTTCCAAATGTAAAGATATTAACATTTTAGTGAATAAAAAGCAGGGCCCATTTTCTCAATGACATTCTCTATTTAACAAAGTAGGTAATCAATATTGTAAGAATATACACTTCCCATTTGATGAAATAAACGTATTACCATTTTGAATTGGGGAGAGGTGAGGCCTATAAATTTATTTGTCTCAGTCAGTCCATATGGAAAGCCTTGAGCCATCACTGAACCTGCACAGGCATTTATTACAGGTCACCTGCCAAAGCAGTGCTGTCATCTCAGTAGTGCCTCCTCAGGAGGTGGGGACAGAAAAAAAGGACAATGAGCTTTTCTTGCCAGGTAGGAAGTCTCTTCCCATGCTACCCCCACTAGTTGGGAAAATAGGAGCCCTGAGATCTGCCTCCCCACCACTAATTGTCTGCAATTTCAGACAAGTCACATGTATGTTCTGCCTTCAGTTTCTCATCCTCAAAACAAGATGAGAAGGGGGAAGGGACAAAATAATCTTTAAGGACCCTGCCATCTATAACTCTTAATAATGTTATCAACCTGCTCCCATGAGCTAATTCATAAAATGAATACTAGAGGAATAAGCAACTGCAAAGTGGTAAATTTGCAAGCTTTGGAGCCTTGAATGCCACTTCCTCCAATTCCTGGTCATGTGACCTTGGGCAAATGACATAACCACTCTGTGCCATGGTTTCCTCATCTGTATTGTTAGTAATAGTATTAACTTCATGGGTTTATTGAAAGGATTAAGTGAATCAATACATATAAAGTGTTTAGCAAGGTGACTGGCACATTTAAGAGTTTCATAAATATGTGTTACTATTATCATTATCTAAAAGAGCCACCTATAGTTGTAAATCTTTAGTTCTAGGCTCTTTGGGAGGAGGGATGGTTGAATCTCCAAGAGCAAGAGCCGCTGCAGGAAATAGGCAAACAGGCTTGCCTCTGGGCTCTGGGCCCTTCCTTATAATCCCAGAGAGGATGATCATTTACCATAGTTGTCCTGAAACTTCCAGTAAAATTGATTCAAGTTTCAGTGCCTCATCTTTTTAAGTATATTTGTGGCAATGTTCTTGAACATAATCCTTTGTGCCTACTTATATTGCAATTTGCATTGTAGAAGCTGCTTACTGACAGTTTCTGTTGGAGCACCTTCCCAAACATTAAAGGCCCAGAGCTCTAGTGCATTCCTCAGGGATTCAAAGGCCTGGACTCTGGAGCTCCCTGGACAAGTCCCATGACCTCTTTGCCCCTGTTAGTTTTTGTGTGGCTTTCTTTCTCATCAAAACAGTAGAAAAAGCTCTCAGTCTCATAGGGTAAACCTATATCATATAAGTGAGAAAACAAAACAAACTAGGGTTCGGGGCTAATCAAAATGCTAATTCTTCCAAAACGCATTATCCAAAATTCCTTATCATGGAGTTGCCCAATAATGCCCAATTAAGATTCTTATTTAAATTAAATATATAACATATCTTATATAGACTGAATTTCATTTGCAGTATGACCCTCAATTATTTAACAATAATGGAGGCAAACTTTTTCTGAGTAATTTCATACATAAATCAAAAGGATATTTATCATTCTCCCCTAATGGAAATGTCAGCGCACAGCTGGAGCAGTGAATATGAAGAAAAGGGTAAATGTGGGGCCAAGGAAATTGGCAGATGATAATAGGCCAGTGCCTCTCCCCTGAGGAGGATTAAGGACTGAAGAGGCCATTATATAGAATTACACACCTCCTGGAGCCCAGATAGCTTCAAATTTGGTGACCACTTAGCAGCTGCTATTGTCAGAGACTCGGTTGGTACTGATAACTTCAATCTTTGGACTGAAAAAAAATTTAATGGGGCGCCTTAGGGTTAGATATGGATGTTCAGTGGTCTCCCCAGTCCAGGCTCAAGAGTTTTGTCAAGAACTGTGATTCCAAGACTCAGCCACTGGTCAGAAGGTAGACAGTTTTGGGAACTGGTATAGGGAAAGAGAAAGATGATGGTGTTTGCTGGCAGATGGCTCGGGCTTTGCACTCCTGCATGGCAATGTGTTGTCTGACTTTGGGCAAGGTGCTTACACTCTATAAGCCTCAGTTTCCACCCCTGGAAGGTTGGGATGGGATGTTAGGAGAATCAAAAATGTCAGCATGTGTAAAGCTGCTATCTTTACACAGAGTAGAAGTTCAGAAAGCTGTGGCTAGTCCTTCTATGACAGTTGTGTGAAGAGGATAAAGTTTGTGTCTGACCCACACGCCTCCTTCACTTTTTCTGACATCACCTCCCTACCTTGGAGGAGATAAAAGTTGTCCTCTCACAAAAAGAATTCTGAGCGACCCAGCCTAAGGAGGAGAAATGGATCAATGGGCTGCTGTCCTCTGTCTCTCTGTCCCTGGGCTCTGTGGGTGGGCCTCCAGCTGATAGGCCAATCATAAAAAGGCTATTCTCCCAACAGGTTTGACAAGTGGCTGGCTCCCCACCTTGGACTGCCTCCTGACTACTTGCCTTCATACCCTGCAAATTACTCAGATGATTCCAAAACCTGGCGCCCTGTGGAAATCTTTAGGCTGCTCAGCAAATACCAAAATGAGATCTCAGACAGGAGAATCTGTGCCTCTGTGTCAGCCCCAAAGACCTGCAGCATTGAATATGTCCTGCGGAAAACAGGGAGGTTCCAGAAATGGCTGCAGGCCAAGCGCCTCACACCAGACCTGGTGCAGGTGAGTGTGCAGTCCTGGCAAGTCCAAAGCAACCTGCCAGATACATCTTGTGTCATCTATCTTGATGGGTATAGACATTGGGGCATAGGGGAAAGATCCCTGAGGCCCAGAAACTGTGGTTGAGCCCTAGATCTAGGCCACTAAAAGCTTTGGCAGAATAGGGAGAAGGAGCAGAGACCCAGGAAGAACAGAGAGCTTCTGGTTCCTGTTTATCCATTCAGCGAGTTTTAACTGTGCTACATCCCAGAGATTCAAAGATGAATCAGACGCAGACTCCACCCCCAGGAGCACATGGCTCAGTGGTGGGGACATATAAAGCACAAATCACCACAAAGCAATGTAGTTGATGTTATGATAACATTTTATACCAGGACAAGGAACAGACTGCTGACTTGGGTCCTTCACTCACTCACTGACCAGTTGACCTTGGATTTAAGCCCAAAATTTCCCCCACTCTGCTCTGACATTCCTCCTCCAAAAATGAGGTCAGAGAAGGACATCTGGATGATCTCAAACACCCTGCCAGCTCTGACATTCTTTGACTTGATATGACTCGGCTTCATTTATTTAACAAATACTGAGAGGGCACCTTCTATCACCAGGCGCCCTGCTGAGTGTCTTGATTTTCTTGTTTTTTAAATGGCAGCAAATGGTACCTGCTCTACTTGATTCATTCATCCTAATGAGCTGATAGAGATAAAGATGATTAGAAAATATCTATTGCTATAGAAATGCACAGCAGCATTCTTGTAATAAGTGGCCCTCTTTCTTCAATTTGTGCTAAAATCTGTTCTATCAATTTTATCATCTTGTGTTACAAGCAGTTAAACAAGCTTTTCTTCTTTGCCAAAACAGCATCCATTAACATCCTGGTAAGATACGACCAAAACCATAACCGTTTTCACTTTACTTTGGCCCTTCTCTAACCAATCTTTTCATTCCCACCAGAGATTTTTCACCTCCTTATAAAAAAAATATATATCAGCAGCCATTTCATAAATTCTAGACAAATCTCATTCTTCTTCCATCCACCAAGTTCAAGGTCATTGCTGTCCTGTTTTGGCACCATCTTCTCCCTCTGATGATCTACTTTCCAGATACCCTTTGCCCTTGGGTTTCCACAGCAGACCCAAGGCACTCTGCCACACTCTTTCCTATTCTCAGGTCTCATCCAGGTGGCACCCAAACTCCTGCTCTTTTCTGCCTAGCAAAACTCACCTATCAGACAGTATCAAATGGATCTGTCTTCCCCAAAAGTGGCAAAAACTAAAAACCTCACCTATTTACCCAAGAGAATTGAATACAAGTGTTCAAACAAAAACTTATATATAATGGTTATAACAACATCATTCACAATAGCCAAAAGGTGGAAAGAACCAAAATGTCCATCAATTGATGAACTGATAAACAAAATGGTGAATTTCATGTTATGCGAATTTTACTTCAATTCTAAAAAGGAAGAACAAGTCATAAAAGTAACCTCACCTATTCTGTAACTTCATTCTTTTAGATCCTTGGGATGGGCAGCTAATCTAATAATTTAATGTATGCCAGGATGTTAACAGGTAAAATTCACATAACATGAAATTCACCATTTAGACCAGTTTAAAGTATACATTTCAGGGCTTATAGTACATCCACAAGATTGTGCAACCATCACCACAATCTAATTCCAGAACCTTTTTATCACTCCAAAAAGAAACCCTGCACCCATTAAGCAGTCACTCCCAATTCTTCCCTCCTCTCAGGCCTTGGCAGCCACTGATCTGCTTTCTGTCTCCACGGGTTTGCCTACTCTGGACATTTCCTATAAATGGAATAGTACAATGTGTGGCCTTTTGTGTCTGGCTTATTTCATTATGGCATTTCACTGTTAGCCCTCCAAGAAACCATTTATGTATAAAGCCAATACTGCAATGTTTTCACTAGCCTATCCATGACTAGCTCAGCCCTTCCTAATACATCCCAGTGTTCTTCTCTTGCTAAACCCAAATGTGGCCCCAGAATTCTTCTCAATAGTGTTCCAAGCAAGCAGCCTGTCTTTGATCTCAGCTGGAATAAGAGATGAAACCTGAGCGACCATTCATCACAGATTTAGCTGAACAGCTCTGCCCTATTTTTCTGATAACTTGTTAGACATGAGTCCTAATTTCTTGCACGGAAATCATGATCTTTCTATATTTATATGGGAGTTTCCGGACCAGCCAGAGAGCTATTACAGGATGGGTGATAGGGAGACTTGCCTCATCTTTTAACTCATACCAAATTGCCCAATGTCAGCTCGGCCTACCTGTCAGGTCAGCCCCAGGGATTCTCTGTGTCACTTAAGTGGATTTTCCCTGATTTCCTCAAAAGCCACTTTCCAACAGGGATCTAGGCCAGAGCCCTAAATTGTGCGTATCTGCTTGTATGTGTGTTGCTGTGTGTTTAGGGGAAGAAAAAGAGGCCACTGGGAACTCACAGGCTTTGCTCAGAGAACTGACAAGGCAGAGATGAGAGGAGAAGAAAATCAAAGAAATAAAAGTAAACTTAAAGGAGGAGGAATCTGATTGGTTCAGGGATCTCAGAACTTTGATTGTCAGTCCTGCTTAGGAATAAATAAAGCCAACTTGGATGAAAAACCCCAGTAGTCATCAGGAGAGGCTGATCCGGAGAGTCCGGGGCTCCTCTCCTGCAGGGCCAAATGCAGGTTTATATTAAGGACACTCTGTCTTGAGCCGCAGGCAGAATGCTACAGCGGGGGCTGCCAAGGAGGACAACACGACCAAGAAATAATTAGGAGGATGGTGAAACAATGTTGTGTGTCTATGTGTGTGCGCACGTGTGTGTGTGTGTGTGTGTGTGTGTGTGTAGCACTCATGCTAATAAAACCATTACCTTTCTCTTCTAAAAGCTGCATTGTTCTGTTCGGAACATCCCACAGCCTAAATTACTAGCCCACAAAGAACCCCAGCCAAGAACACCGCTCAGAGTTTTTATCATGAGCTTGTTCACAAAACCACCAAGAAGGGCTTCCTCTGCTATTATGCGAAGCGCAAAGAGGCAACCACCCTAGACAGCACGTGGCTAATCAGAGGAAAACACATATCCTCCGCTGCGTCCATTCCCATCCCCTCTGCTGTCAGCGGATCCGCTTCTGACATTGTTCTGTTACTCCCTCAGATGGCCGCGGAGCTTTTTCTCCCACTAGATGGCGGTATAGAGTGTTCAGGCAGCTTTGTTTAAACAAGGACAGCTGGCAATTTTACTTCCTACATCTACATTATTTTTTTAAATTGACAGAGTAAGGGAAATAAGCAAATTACCAAAATGCACAATAGTCACTTCATCAAAATATATGTTTATACATAACTACTAAGCAAGTGAAATTCATGTTGGCTCAAATTTAACCCAAAAATATGTAAGGGGCGTTTACAAGACCTATGCTAGCCATTAGGAGGGTATAACATGTCAATACAAGGTCCCTGCACTCTGGGAGATGACACTGCAGTGAGGGAGACAGACCACATTCCACTCGTTCTGATCCAAGACAGGTTGTGATAAAGTATTTTAACAAAGATGGAAAATTTATATTGGATTCACAGCTAGTTTTCAGGCTATAAATATTTTAATCCCTCACAGGCTGCCAGGTGAAGGGCCCTTCAAAAAAGTTGCATTCTTTTTTTTATTTTAAAATAACATGACTATACTGATGCTGAAAAAGAAAAAAAATGATTATATTGGACTCCATCTAACATTGGAGTCAAAGATGAAATGACTATTGGTGGGAAAGGAAATTTAAGCAACCAAGAGTGCCTCCCCAGTACCACACAGGACAATATTCCCCAGACATCAGTGCACATCTTCTAATGGTCTTCTGGAAGCAGGGACCCTTCCGAGGTACATCATGACTATGAGATCATGAGGCCACACTCCCCGTGACCCTTAGGAAGTAGAGTGCTGTGTTTGTTGCCCATGGGAGTTTTCGGAGCCAACTGGAGAGATATGTGATTGATGTAGATGTTCCCCCCCCCATACACAGCCCACTTTCTCCTTCCAATCAATAGAATTGTTGAGAGTTGAAACAACTAAGATTTTGAATCATGGAATTTGTTTAGGGTTAGAACCATTGAGACTTCATCCCCTCAGCATTTGTGACAAAGGGGTTATTTGGAATGGGATGGAGACTAACCTATTAATTTCCAGGCCACCATTGTATCATCCTCATAGAAATGGGATTAATAGATCACACAGTCTGTTTATTCAAATGACCCCTAAATTATTCTTGATAGAGTTCATGAATGTAAAGGAGGACAGCAAAAGGCTTCCCTAGTCTTGACACAGACAAGTTGAGAAAAAGGAGGCAAGAGAAGACTAGGGGAAAAAACAAGCACCACATGTACTCACCATCAAATTGATATTAACTGATCAACACTTATGTACACATATAGTAATAACATTCATCGGGTGTCGGGCAGATGGGAGGGAGGAGGAGGGGATGGGTATATTCACATCTCACGGGTGCGGTGAGCACTGTCTGGGGGATGGATACCCTTGAAGCTCTGACTCAGATGGGGCAAGAACAATATACATAACCTAAACATTTGTACCCCTGTAATGTACTGAAATTTTTAAAAAAGAGAAAAGTATCTTACACATAAAAAAAAGAGAAGACCAGGGGAAAGGGAGACATGGGACAGGTCACCAGTGGCTCCTTCCAGAAGATGCTCAAATATAGAATAGAGACAGCCCCTACCCAAAATATAACTGAAGCTTGAACAGTCATCAGAACAGTCCATTCGAAACAGGCTTCACCTTTATAGGGCTCTCAGCTTTCCCTGAACTTAGATGTTAGCCAGCCAAGCCCCTCAAGCCATCCTTTGTTCTATGAAATTCTTCCTTCAATATCTCACTATCTGGCCGGGCGCTGTGGCTCACGCCTGTAATCCTAGCTCTTGGGAGGCCGAGGCGGGCGGATTGCTCAAGGTCAGGAGTTCAAAACCAGCCTGAGCAAGAGCGAG